GGACAATGTCTTAACCCTAGAGGTCCCTGACCTCATTCGAGGAGTAATCTAACACCAGTGGGGGTGGGGGTGGGGTGGGGAACAAGGAGCCACAATGGCAACATGTCTGCTCCTATAGATAAAGCTGCCAGCCACAGCTATAGCTGGCATGTAAGCAGTAACTGTAAGGTAGCACTATGATGGGAGGATATGGTGGGGATTGATTTTAGTGATGAGCATGTGACGGGGCCTCATCTCTAACTCACCAGTGTGAAGGCCTCCCTCCACCCAGAATCCTGGCCTCCCAGGCTTCTGAAAACATGAGAGAGAGAAATGGGCCCGCATGCACTCTCTTCTCAGACCTCAGCTTCCCACAGACTATATTCTTTTTTGTTTTAATCGTTTTATTAGGGGCTCATACAACTCTTATCGCAATCCATACACACATCAATTGTGGAAAGCACATTCGTACATTCATTGCCCTCATCATTCTCAAAACACCAGACTACATATTCTTTACGGGAGTTGAATACCCCATCTTTCTCCCAAGGACCCTCTTGGGGTCAGACTGCTGACCTTGTGTAGCAGCTCATAACAGACTTTACTAGTCTCTGTAGGCATAACCACAACACCACAAGGGCTCCTCCTAGGAGACAGGAAAGTAGGGGAGAAGGAGCAATCTCCCCTTTCTTCCCCGATGACATCCTCTTTCCGTCTGGTAGGAGCTGACGCATTCATCCAGTTGCTAATGCATGGGTTCTGACTCAGAGCTGGGTATAACCTTCCCTGCGGGTTTTCAAGCCCATCAATCTTCATCGCTGCAGCTTCACCCTCCCCCGCCTTTATCTGAGTCCTGTGGACAGGCTGATTGTAACCCAACACACCACTAGGGCTCCTTGGCTTATTCATAAAACCTTAAAAAAAAACAAACTCATTGCCATTGAGTTTATTCTGACTCATACTAACCCGACAGGACAGGATAGAACCGGCCTTGTGGGTTTCTAAGGCTGTAACTCTTTCTGGGAGCCGAGAGTTTTATTTGAACTGCCAGTCTTGTGGTCTGCATGCCAACTCCTAACCACTGCAGCCCACATCCGGGAGGGTCGGAGGGGCCCTTGTGTGTAATTGAAGGAAATAAATTAAAGAGACAGACACAGCTGAAGGGACTTCCGAAGCCAGATCCCTGAGGACTGAGAGATTATATTTCCAATAGCAGCTGTTATACCCTTGGGGCATGCAAGCCCCCTTATTACAGGTAACCACATACACAACAAAGTGGGCTGTACCCTAACCTTAAAGGTCCCTGAGTTCCCTGGAAGAGTAACCCGGGACAGCTACGGGGGAGTGGCTGTCTTTCAGAGCCTAGAGAGCAATCAGCCTTGTGCTTGTAAGAGGCAGCATTATCAGGAGAGGCTAGGGTGGGGATTCACCTTAGTGATGAGAATGGGATTGGGACTCTTCTCCAACTCACAAGTGTGAAGGCCTCCCTCCACCCAGCACCCTGGCCTCCCAGGCTGCTTACCATAGGAGAATACAGAATTCATCTGCACACACTCTCTTCCCGTTTCTCAGTTTCCCACACTGCACCAGGGCTCTTGACCCATCAAAACGAAAAAACTCAGAGATGGCGGCCAGTGTAAGATATGACAGAATAATAATAATTTATCATTTATGATCAAGGGTTCTTGAGGGAGGGGGGGAGCAGGGAAGAGGGGGAAAAAAAACGAGGAGCTGATACCAAGGGCTCAAGCAGAAAGCAAATGTTTTGAGAATGATGATGGCAACACATGTACACATGTGCTTGACCCAATGGATAGCTGCATGGAGTGTGATAAGAGTTATAGGAGCCCCAATAAAATGATCTTAAAAACCCAAACTCACTGTCACCCAGCCGATCGCTGCCAACTCATGTGATGTGATAGAACCGTGTAGAAAGGGCCCTGCTCTGAGACAGTAGCTGATGTAGAAAGCCCTGTCTTTCTGCCTCAGGGCGACTGGTGGTTTCAAACTGCTGTCCTTTGGATCGCAGCCGAGGTGTCACCACCAGGCCCCCAGGGGTCCTTGTTCACAGAACATTATATAGCTGTTCTTCACTCCATCGGGAAACCACATCCACCCCTCGGTGTCTTTGGCTCTTTCTCACCCCAGCTGTGAAGGAGTCCCCATGGGGCAGTGGTTAAGCACTGGGCTTCGAACCGAAAGCTTGGCGGTTTCAAACCACCAGCCACTACCGTTTAGGAGTGAAAGGGCCCTGTGGACTCCAGGGAAAACTAGATTCGACTCATAACCCCCTTGTGCGCAACTGAACCAAACGTCTGTGCCCTCCTGGCCTGGGGGTTACAGAGTTGGGCCGCCAACCACGAGGTCAGCTGTTCAAAACCACCAACCTCTCCAAGGGAGAAAGCCAAGGCTTTCTACACCTGGTGCGAGGGTTACAACTTGATAAAGTGGAGTGGTGGAGTTTAGCCTGTCAATCAGGTTGCAGCTTGATGACCTCATTTGGAGGCACGACAAGATAAATAACTTGCTGGAGACTGTTCCCCCCACCCCCGCTCTGATCCCTCTCTGCCTTTACCTTCCTGTTGAAGAGCCACACTGGGAGCTGCCAGTCTTGTGATGTCACCACCACCCTTGGATCCACAGGACTCTGCACCCACCAGCCGGTGATCTTCCTGCATTCTGCATCATTGCATGTGGCTGCAGGAGTCTGAAGAGGGACTTTGGACTAGTATCAGCCTTAGGGACTAGGATCAGACTTGTGGACTTGGTCTGCACTGGGCAGCGATTTTTGCTTGATGTATTATTACTTCTTAATATAACACTCTCTCTTACACATATATATTATGAGTGTCACTGGATTTGTCTCTCTCGTCAACCCAGCCTAACACATCCGGTAAAGAGTTACAGTCTTAGAAGCCCACAAGGGCAGTCTTGCCCTGTCCTATAGGGTCGCTCTGAGATGGCATCGATTTGATGGCAGAGAGTTTGGTTTTTCGAAGCATAATGGTTATGCGTTCGGTTGCTAACCACAAGGTAAGATGTTTAAAACCACCAATGGCTTCTAAGGAGAAAGGTGAGGCAGCCTGCTCCCATAAAGAGTTACAATCTCAAAACCCCGGAGGGGTTTTATCAGAGGAAACCAGCCTCTAACAACTGAAGGGCCAATAGGCACAATTGTAAGGTTATAATACATAAAGATTATAGTAAAGTCATAGAAAATGGGAAAGATAGGAGAGAGGATGAAATAAAGGAGTCAGACAGGTTTTATGGTCGCATGCTCACCTCAGCCCCTCTGGACGGTCCACGTGGAACTGGGAGAAGAGAGAACGTCTTTACTAGCTTGGGACATTTATAGGTAGCCATAACACATGCATATTCAGTAGTTATAGCATAAGGTGGGTGGAATTGACAGGAAGGTCCCTGGGCTCACAGGTGAGGAAACCTAATACCTGCATTGGGGGAAGGTATGAGGGGGGTTGGGTGACACGGCAGGAAGAGAGAAAAGGATGTCTGCTTCCATAGGGAGATAAATCAACCCCGTGCTCACTTTAAGGCAGCACAGCTGTTCGGGGAGAGTCTGTGGGAATGATATTTAAAGCAGGATCATGTACTTGGACTTTACCTCTAACTGACCGAAGTGGAGGCTTTCCTACCGTGGAATACCAGCTTTCCGGATTCCCTCTGTGAGAAGTTAGGGTATCTAGTCCCAATCCTATTTCCCTCCATGTTCGTTTCCCACGGGGTCTGGTTCTCCCCTTCCCTGTAGGGTCCCTATGAGTCTGAACTGAATCCATGGCAGTGAGTTTGTTTGTCTGTCAGAAGGACAGTGGAAGCCGGGGCTGGGGGTGGCGTGTATCGTGGCTGTCTGCTCCTGTAAAGATTGTCTCTGAAACCCTCTGGGGACAGGTCTAGTCTACTCTATCCTACAGGGGGGCTAAGAGTTAGAATCGGCTCAGCAGCAATCGTTTGGTTTTGGTCTCTCCCCTCGGCACCCCCTGCTCCCGTGGGTCCAGCTTAGCCCAGGGTCCCAACACTGCATGAGCCTCCAACCTCATGGGATCTTCTTCTGGACCAGCCTCCTCGTCAGCCAGCTAGTTCTCTGCCTCTTGGTGAACCCCTTAGCTCTTTCTAGACCTCTGCCTCTCTTTCCTCTCCGCCATCACTTGGGCGGTTCCACTTCATTTCCGTCAGGCAGGGCTTGGCAACGTTTTCTCTGTAAAGTACCAGGTGGTAAATATTTCATGCTTGGCAGGCCAGTGACTCAACCCAACCACTGTAGGGGGAACACAGACTGCCCGGCCCCCAACACACACAAAATCCCCAAACCGTTGCTGTTGATTCCGATGTGTGTCCACCTGGTGCCTTACAGAGTAGAACAGAGCGGGCGGCATGAGGTTTCTCTGGACTCTTCTCTTGACAGAAGAGGATGACCAGGCCTTTCTTCTGGCCGCCGCCAAGCATTTGCCACATCCAGGGACCCCAAGCGACCATCCAACCCCCAACCCCCCACCCCCAGTTGAATCAATTCCAATTGGTAGCAACCTTATAGGACGGAGTGGAATTCTTCTGCAGGGTGTCTGAGGTGGTAGATCTTCATGGAAGGAGACCTCCTCATCTGTCTCACCAGGAGACTGTAACCCTTTACAGACTAGGAAGCCTCCACTTTCTCCCACTGAGCTGCTGGTAGCTTTGAACTACTGACCTTACCGTGGGCAGCCCAACAAACACTGTACCACCTGGGCTTATTAAAACAACCATTAAAAAACAAAACAAAACCAAAAAAAACCTCAATGCCATTGAGTTGATTCCACAGTGACCCAAAGGCTAGGGTAGAACCGCCCCTGTGGGTTTCCTAGACTGTAACTCTTGATGGGAGCAGAGAGCCTCGTCTTTCTCCTGTGGAACAGCTGGTGACTCTGAACTGCTAACCTGGCCATTAGCAGCCCCACTTGTCAGCCGTTACATCACCAGGGCTCTTTAGAGCAGCCATAGGTAGATAATACATAAACAGTTGCATAGACTTGGGTTCTAATAACTTTATTCATGGGCAAGCGAGTGAAAATGTCATCCAAGAGTCATGTATCCTGAAACACAGTCCTTTTGGTTTTTGACATTTCTCTGCAACCATCTCTAGCAGGCTGTACAAACTTTGTCAGTGCACCAGGCTGGGCCGGTGGGCCTGGCTGTCCGGGTGCTCCCCTGATCATCTTTCAAGCCCCTTCCACCTTTGAGTCTGTGAGACCCTGAGTGGGTCAGCAAGGAGAACACCTACGTGTTTCTGAAGAGGGTCTCTCTCTTGCTTTCCAGAGCAAGGCTGCTCCAGATGGAAAGATCGGCTATTCCAAATGCTTGGGATGAGAAGGCCCATCCTTGGAGGGTCAGAGCAAGAGACTTGGCACTGCATTTCCAATGCCCTCTTTGTCTCTCTCCCTTCCTCGGTGGCAGCCCGGATCCCCAGCCCTAGAGCCCAGCAGAGCCTCGGCGGAATGTGACCTCCGCATACTCAGTGTTCCTGTCCGTGGGCTCCTGGGCCTCCCACGGTCTGAGTCCTGGGAACCGGACAGCTGCGTAGTGTAGCTCCTCTGCGTGGTTCTCGGATCCTGGGTCTTGCCTGGATGGTATCCCTCCTGGGTGCGTGGGGTTCTTCGATTCTGCCGGGAGGCCAGACCCTGAAGGAGGGAGCTGGAAAGGACTGCTGGGTGGGACCTTCCGGTTCTGAGCCTAGGGAATAACAAATTGTCCATCATTCACTCCGTCAACATATTTCATCACCTACCCTGTAGCCAGGTACCATTGGGAGCTGAAGATATTACAAACCAACCCAACCCAACCCAACCCACTGCCATCTAGTCAACACCCATTCACAGCGACCCGACAAGGCTGAGTAAAACTGCCCCCTCTGCGTTCCTGAGATGTTCACATCTTTATGGGAGCAGACGGCTCCTCTTGCTCCCCTGGAGCAGCCAGTGGGGTCGGACCACTGACCTTGTGGTTAGCAGCTCAACGAGAAGCCGACTATGTCACCAAGGTTCCTTAAGGAAACAATGGCCAGGGAGGGTAGAGGGAGAGTAGGTAGCAAAGAGGGAACCGATTACAAGGAACTATATGTGACCTCCTCCCTGGGGGATGGACAACAGAAAAGTGGGTGAAGGAAGACGTCAGACAGGGCAAGATATGACAAAATACCAATTTATAAACTATCAAGGGCTCATGAGGGAGGGGG